GAATTCTTGAATTATCTTGGATTCTTTGAGTTCTTTGGCTTATCTTGAATTCTTCCTATGAGCTATCGCCCATATGATGAGATGGGCCTCCATCAGAGGCCTAATAGACGACATGATTGAAGTACTGATAAATGATTTGAGGCCTCATAATTTGACAATGGATATGATACAAAATAGAATTATAGAATGGATAATTAGATATGGTACATGAACAGGAATCATATAACCTACCCAATAAGCTAGAACTTCAAGGAAAGCAACTTAACCAAAGCTTCAGCCCTCTAAAAGGGCCCTTAGTTGAGTTGAGTTCAGTTGCATATCCCATTAAGCAGTCAATAACAAAAGGGGGGCCAAATAACTAGGAAAAGCACAAATCAAATAGCCTTTTCTTCTACCAATAACAATCATAATGCTTTATGAATGATAATATAAGATGAAACCCTTGCTGTAAGGCAATCTAAAGTAGGGAACAAAAATAGTCAATGCATTACCGAGATTAAGAAAATATAACCCAAAGTCACAAATCCTTGTTCTCACTCCACAATTCAAATAGATCCTAATTTCGCCTATTTACAAAGCCAGCAATTAACTCATAAGCCAAGGTTTTAGATTAATTATTGTACTTCTAGAATATCGAACATAAACATTTAGTTTGATTTTCAGTAATTATTTTCAAATTTTTAAAGGTCTTTTGTACAACTAAACCAGTGCGATGCACGGGTTTTGTTAATCAAGAATGAAACAATCATGACTTATAAACAAATTAAAAGAATCAAAATAATGGTCTGATCAAATTGATAAAAAAATTAAAATAAGCTATAATAAGAATGTCCAAAACAAAGGCAATTGCATAGTTTATGGAAATAACCATAAACAATATATTTCATGGAAAAGAAATACTGTTAATTAATATAATACCATCAATTAATAAATTCACTATTAAAAATATCATCAAATACTGTAATCATTAAATCCTGTAATTATTTTTAATATGTTTTTAATAAATACTGTATTTATTAAAATACTGTTAATTATTAACATTATATAATTATTAAAAATATTGATAACTAATAAATACATTATTTTTAATAAATACTTTTTATTAATAATGATACTGAAAACACTGTTAATTAATAAATAGAGTAATTACTAAAATACTATAATTATTAATACCGTTTTTAATAGATACTGCTAATGAATAAATACATTATTAAAAATACTATTAATTATACTGTAATTATTAAAATAATGTATTTATTGAAAATAAAGTTAATTAATACCATCAATGAAACAAACCTAATAAGAAGATGTTGTTAAAGGAGACGGTAGAATGGAAACATCTCTGCCTTTGAAGTTTCACCACAAAGGAAGAAAAGATAAAACATGCATGGGAGTCTAAGGGTTTGTAGAAAAGTTATTTTGAAGTTTTCCTATAAGAATGAAGATAAAATGCCTCTACTTTCACTTTATTTCACACCCATTTCATTAGTGTATATATATTATTTGTATTTGGTAAGATATGATAATATCTTCGATTTATGTTTTCATATTTTGCAAGCAAATAATCCTTATCAGGTAGTCACATTTGGTGAGAACACCAAGTCAACACTAAATAATTTTTTTGTCACCTATCCCCTATGTATCCCCATCCTATCTTCAAAATGATTCAAAATATCATTTTAACATAGTTGTCAGAATATTTATTGAGTGCTTGTAAGGGTGTGCCTACTTGAGGGCTTTCATGCAATAATTTTTTTTTTTATGTTGAAAAACACACACATACACATGCAAATATGAAGTTAAATCGGGCTCGGGGCGGGCCAGGTTGGTAAAGGCCACTACCTTAACTCAATTCAAAGATAAGTCATGAGGTTCATAATTTTCAGCCCTAACTTGGACTTCAACACAACCCAACCCTACTTTTTTGGGCTGAGTTCAGGCTAACCTGGCCAAATTGTAGCCCTAATTTTCTGTATACTTCTTTGCATTTAAATATTGTCAGATATTCTCTCTAGGCTTGGATTAGCAAATCTCTTGCAAGTTGTAGTAACATCAACTACCACTCAATCCTTCTTAGAAAAGTTGCGATATCTTGTTTAAGCCTCATTTTAGAAAGGTCTAAACCAGGTCCAAAATTTTGGTACGTATTGGGCCGTATCGGCCGGTACATATCATATCAGGGGCTTCTTGATATGCCCCTATAGGGGTTGTTTCAGTGTTTAACCCGGTTCAAGGGGTAGGCAGACCTTAAACCAACCACTCTGAACCAAATATAAAAAATTAAAAAAATAAGAAAAATCAGCTTCGATACAGGCCGATACGCCCCATATCGATATTTTGAACCTTGGGTCTAATATTTAAAGAGTAGAGAACCACAATGGCATCAGACTATTAAATGGATATCTATCAGAGTTTCATTTATCTACAGACTTTTATGCTTATTACTCCCTCTTCTTGTACTTTTGTTTGGCACTTCAATTTTCTTTTTCTTTTAGCATATCACTTGTACTAGGTGAGATTGGATCAATGCCCATATAAAAGAAGGTTAAGCCCAAACCCACTTAAAGAGCTTAGGTTGGGGCCTCAAATTGCCCACTAGATATCTGAAAAGGACAGACATCGGTCCAGACCAGATTCAATGATTCATTCAAATACAGTTTCCTCATTTGTGGGTTATGCAAGTATGGAAGCCTTAAAAGAAGCATTAGAACTATTGGGAAAAATAGGTGAGAAAAGGTGCTTCTTACTGTTGTTATTTCCAACACATTGATGGATACTACGACCAGAGGAACTCTATAATGGGCTTCAAGAGAGGGGAGTGTGAAGAAAGCTCTTGACATTCATTTCATGTGGAGGTTTTGAGTCAATGAATTCATTTAGTGGCTGAGATTTAAAAATATTCTAAGTTCTAAGCAATTAAGAGGATAAATCATTTCACAAGGAGAGGCTGATGACAGGGGTGTAAATGGATCGAATTTGAATTGGATCAGGCAATATTTGAATTTGAATCTGATATCCAAATTTGATTCGATATCTAACAAATATTGAAAATTAATATCCGAATTTAAATCCAATTAAATATTCGAATATTCAATTCGATTCAACTTTGATTAATTAATTATTTAGATAATTAATAAATATTTTATTGATATTAAGTATATAAATATATGTTTTATTTATGTAACTTAACTATTATATATAAATTATATAAAATAATTTATATATTATATATAAGAATTAAATAATCGGTCAAATTCGGATATTTATCGAATCGAATCAAGTCATATCTGAATTCGAATCCGATTAACTATTCGAATACCACTGACACCCCTAGCTGATGAAGCTTGTATATCCTGATCAAGCCTATTGCCTAATAGTTACGATTGTCCCTTAATTAGTGTAGTGAGGAAATTCTAGTAGAAGAACCATTCCCATTCATATTTCTACCAATGACTTGTGCATTTACTAATATTTGTTGTACGACCAATGACTTGTGCATTTATTAATATTTACTTTTCATTTATCCACTTATGTATTTACCATCAAGGCCCGTTCGCTTTTCGGTAAGTTACTTATCTAGGTAAATGCAGTTACCTGAGTAAGTTTTTCCTAGGAAACACTTACCTGGGTAAATGCATTCACCCATGTTCTTTTATTTGTCATGTAAATAAGACAATGACCATTTTAGCCATAAAAATTCATTATTAAAAGGGACATTTTTGTCTCATTCAAGTGTTGGGAACTTTCCCCCCTAGGTGGGAAAGTTATTTACCCGGGTAAGTGATACCCAGAAAAATAAACTTTCCATGCACGGTCCCTACATAAATATGAAAAAAGAACATGAGATTCTTGGTCAATGGAAACCAAAATCCCATTGACCAACTTTTCCCCTCTTAAAATCCGAAAAAAGAACACCCCGCAAGATTTTTACCAAAGTTCAATGTATTGAAACATCCCAATACTTCTACGTTCAAATGGGTATTATTGCATATCAATATGGCCAATACCCATTAATTTTTTTTATTATTTTTTATTTTATACGTACTAAATGGTCTCACCCATCATTTTAAAGTTTTAAAATAAAAAATAATAATAATAACTATATACCGATGTATCTAAGCAAATCTAAATATACTGATACTGTTACAATACACCGATATTTTAATCTTGAATATTCCTAATCTAAGTTCTAAGCAAGCAGTATGTATAGAATGACAAGGAGAATAAGTTATTCCAACAAACAGTGAGTAAAAAGGTTGCTTTCAGGTTTCATTTTACTGAGTGCCTTGATTAAGGGTTATATTTGAGTGGGACTTTGGACTTTGGAGTGTGATTTACTCTTTGAATTAAGGCTCAAATGGATGAAGAAATTCAAGGGGCGTGTCTACAAGTCATTTAATGGGGTTGATTTTTGGTGCATACGCTTTCAACATGTCAATCCTCTGAATGAGGAACAGGCATAAGTTATGGAAGAAGAGCCCCCAATGTGTCCCAGACCTAGGACCTAAGGCACTCCCACGTACCCATAGAAAAGCTTGATCAGAGGACATCAAATCAATCATATTGCTTATTACTCCACTAACACCACCAACGAGAGACTAAACAATTCATCCCACTACTTAATTAATACCCACTAAAATGTTCTGATTAGTCAGATAAGGTGCAATCAAGCTCTGATTGCCATTTAACAGCACATATCTTATCTTCCACTCAGTTTACATGGTGGACAACAAGTGGACGACCTAATCTGCAAATCTTTTAGATGAAACAATAAGATCAATGGTCAGGATTTCCTTTTCTCCTTTCTGTATTATAGTTTGTGGAAACGTCTGCACCAAGCACCAATATTCAGGTATTTAAAACTGATGAACAAGGTTTTGAAGGAACTGAAGTGAAAGCTTTGGCTAGATGTAATTGAAATAGAAGCTATAATGGGCTCGTTTTCAGGACAATTTGTTCCAGGTTTGGCCCTCACCCTCCTGGGTCTATGGCACACCCTCAATACCATCAAAGCTTACAGTCTCAGAGGCCCAACTGGTTTTAGCTCAAGGTTTTGGTACCCATTCAACAGCTCAATTTTCAGCATCAAACACCTGGAACTAATCTTCATCTTCTCCTTCTCTCTATTTGCCATTGCGCTTCAAGTCCTGGACTATCCTCTTCTGCATCTCTCTTTCAAGCTCAGCAACTTTGAGCATGCAACCGTGTCCCTGCACCTCGCCATCTACTCAGGCGTTGCACTGGCCGTCGAGTTCACACATTCACTTGAGAACTTAACAGGGCTGGTTGGAGTACTTGTGGCCTCTGTATTTGGGCAGGAGCTGTTCCTACTCCATCTCCACTCAGCTGAACACGTTGGGCTTGAAGGCCACTACCACTGGCTTTTGCAGCTTATTGTGTCTGTGTCTCTTGTTGCAGCCATGGCCGCAACTAGCAACCCAAGAAGCTTCGTCGCCGCGCTCGTTCTTTCGCTCTCGGTGGTTCTTCAGGGATGTTGGTTTATGAACATGGGAGTAGTGCTATGGGTTCCCCGGTTTGTTGCAGAAGGCTGCAGTGTCATGAGGTTGGCTCGATTGGGTGGAGATGATGAACTGCATGCAGTGATCACATGTGGAACTGAGGATGCAGTTTTAAGGGCGAAAGCATTGGCCAACCTGCAACTCAGTTGGATAGTTGCTGCAATATTGATATTGGCAGCATGTCTTTGCCTGAAACTGGCTGGAAAAGGTATACAAAGGAATGGATCAACCGACAGTGAGCAGCTTCTTAGTGGAGGTGTGCTTGTGGGTAGGATATCTATAGTCATTGACACATCCAAGCAAGTCCATACATCCCTAGTCAATTTAGTAAGTTGAGCTCCGTTTTGTTCAATCCACATCCAAATGCTCATTAGAAAGCTTTTGAAGTTTTGATCAGTGTGTTGTTATCTCCTTTACTTTCCTTCTCTAAATAAGGGTCTTCCTTTTAGTACTCTCTTTTCTTTATTGAACATTTCTTTGGTTTCTGAGCTCATGGACTGGGAAGCTTGATCCCAACCCAAAAAGAAAATTAAGTTGGGTTGGGTTGGTTATGGTTGAATGCAGGACTGTCAATGGTCCGGATATTGGTCCAATCCGATTCGATCCAGTATGAATCCATTATAGATAATAGATCAGGTCAAATACACGAATACTTTGGACCATTCTGGACTGGTCCAATTCATTGTTTAGACCGTCCAAACTGTCCAAAATGATTCTAATTTAGATGGGACTCAACCCAAACCTGGTTCATTGACACCTGTACTCTTATCTTATGCCAATAAATTGGTTATTGGTTCAATCCGACCCAGTCCAATATAAATCCATTATAAATGGACCAAGTTCAATCCAATTCAATAAATACTTTAAACCATTATATTTGGACTGATCCAATTCAATGTCTTATTGGTTAGTCTAATCCGTTCAAATTGATTTTGATTTGAAAGGAGTCGAACCCAACCCCAAACCATTAACACCCCTAACTGAATGAAGGCCGGATTTGGGTTAATGTTGAAAAGTATGAAGCCAATTTAACTCTGGGCTGTGTTAGGATTACCATTTGAGGCCTTGAGCAACCGAACTCAACAAATTCATTGTATTACATGTGTAATAATTTTAGGTGTAACAATAAGTATATAGCATTCATAAAGCACCATAACTTTGAACCCATGTATAGTAATGTTAAAGCTATCTTTAATCTTCTAACACTAATTTGAAAAGATGAAAAGTGAAAACAACTTGAAAATAATAACAATAACAAAAGAAGTAAAGAAATTAAGCAATCTAGACCCAAGCTAAATCCAAAAGAGTCGGATTGGATTGGATAAGGGTTAGGATTCGAGTTTCAACACCTAGTGTTAGGCTAATATTGATATCAACCTAACCTAACCGGCTAACCCAACCCAAAATGCAACTTTAAGATAACGACAAATATACTAAATCAACAGACCTCATATGATTGCGATAAGGCTTAGATGATAATGATGATTATAGTGATGGAGTACCTTTAATAATATTGGCTCATCAAGGGTTAAGCAACATTTGAGTTAGCTCCTTTGCTGTGTGGGCTAATCTTAAGCCCAGACCAGCCCATACATAACTAAGATTCAAATCCAGTCCATTGACAGTCTGTCAGTGTTAAAGGGTTTGGCCAAGGATCAAAATATTGATATGATACATCGAATATCATATTCATATCATTCATTTCAATGGACCCCAAAATACATGGTTACATATGCCAATACAATAATGATTCCGGGGTTTTAAAAAGCAAAAGGTATTGGCCATATCAAAATATCCACTTGTTGGTATCGATATTTTGATCGTTAGATATGATTATTGATCCAGAAAGCATTCATGTTTTCTAAAATACTTAGCATTTGATCCTTGGGTCTGGTTGCTTTATAAAATACTCAGCATTTCATTCCACGGGCAAAGAAAGTTGGAGCAGAGATCATGGTTGGTAGCTTTCTCCCAACTTTAAAGTAAGGTAATCATATATTCAAGCTTTATGCTTCTTTATTTTCGTTTCCGTTTTATAGCTTCATGGTGGGTCCTAATGTCTGCGTAGGTGTGGTGGGCTGCCTTCTTCAATCACCACATCCGTGAACGTCAGTTTCGGTTATGGTCACCATCGTCCACAGAAAAGTAAGATCAAGGGATTAATTAGCTCCCAACTTGTATTCATTCAATTCATCGTCATGTTTTCATGGCCCATGGGCCATGATGTGGTAATTTAGCACCACTAAGGCACAAATTGATTCTATTCTCATAGCTGTATCGAAACCCTAGAATCTGACTCTCATTTAGAGTTTGGGATTCTCAATTGTGGATTCAAAGATTACTTACAACCAAATCAAGGTAGTGTTTGGGATTGATGCCCATTTTTCAGGAATGGGCACCACATTAGAGCTACATCACAATTTCAAAATGATTGATTATTTTGCTGTTTGGTTGGCTGATTTTTTTGTTATAAATCGATTATTAAAATCAGGCGGGCTGAAAAGTGGAATCACCAAAAATTATTTTATGATGTAGCATGATCTGATATGGATAAGGGATATAGTACTCATAAACACAGAAATCACCAGTGATAATCACTACCAAACAAATTCATAACGGATTTCTGAAAAATCGGGTGATATGGCAACAATGGTATATACCAAACAAGTAATTTCTCTGATTTCTGAGAAATCAGTAATTTTTGAAAAATCTCATTCAAGGTTCAAAGTATAGACAACTGGTTGATACGCTGTTAGGGTGTATTGGCCTGTGTTGGTGCTTTTTTAGTTTTACATTCTTTTTTTTTTTTTTGAAATTGGTTCAAAGGGGGCAGTTTAAGGCCCGGCTACCCTCTGAACCAGTGGCTGACCCGATACAATCCTTGTAGGAGCCTATCAAGAAGCCACCGGCACAAAAAGTATCAACCAATATGGACCAATATGTATCGATACTTTGAACCTTGATCTCATTACAAAAATCAGTATCAATCCCAAACATCTCCTAAATCTTCAAGGCTCTATTTGTTTAGAGGATATATGCTGCAACCTAGACACTCCCTTGCAACTCCTGATGAAATACGGACAGGTCAGTAATGGAAATAATAAATTCAAAATATCACTTGAATTGATTTTGCTGATGTGTACATATTTCATTAGAGGGTCACAAGATCTGTCCCTCCGCCGCATTGGCAGAAGCCTTGTGCATTGGGCTGGGCCTAGATTATTTATTTGGTAAAAAAAAATTAGAATTTAATATAATTAATATTACAAATTATCTTAAATTTTAACAGGTTTTTACCATTAAAATGATAAAATCTTGTTTCATTCTGTCAAATAAACCTAAATAAATAAAATCAGAATACAGCTTCAGTGAAACTATGCAAGAGCTCATCACTCTTTCTGTCTCTTAGAGGAATGAATGACGTGGCTAATTAGACTTATTATCTGATAATCAGGTCCTTTATTTTGTAGACAATGGAGGAATGTCAATGAGGTGACCATTTTAGACCTTCCATCTGATCTATAGGCAGAGCCTTTGTTGGGCCATGTAGAGATGACGTGGCTAATTTAGACCCTCCATCCGAATCCGATGAGAGCTCCAGACAGTCTTGATAAAAGGATAGACCATGAGCCCATGCTTCGGTGTTATGGATAAATATTTGCTCCTTTGGTCAATCAATACAAAATACGCGTGGATGCAAGAAATGTCACGGTCAGTATGATCTGATGTTTGTTTGTTTTAACAATTGCATCAGCTTTCATAGTGATGTATGTGTTTTGAACCACACATCCGTTGCAATTGTGTAACAGTGCACGTCGCTTTCTTTGCTTGTTATAAGCAAATTTGTCCATTTTTTTCTGTATCGATGATGCTGTTTTATCCCTATTTCAGATGCTAAAATGGTAGACCTAATTAGTAGATTAGTGGAGTTAGTGACATGTGGTATATACCAGAGTTTCAGAGTTCCCTTTTGTTACAACATGATATTAGTGCAGATTTAGAACTTAAAACCAAATACGATATATTACTTTGGCTCAATTATTATGTCACTTTTAATTCAAAGTGGGGTCACAACAATACATCCAAAGGCTTTGATTTCTGGTTTTAATCCAACAGATCATGTAATAGCCAAAGTGGATAGGTTCATCGTGTCGATAGTTTACTGGTATACCCCTCTAAGAATTGTATTGGGTCAGCCACCGGTTCAGAGGATAGCTGGGCCTTAAACCTGTGGAACCACAGGCTCTCTATGTTATGATTAATGGGCCCATGTGCAATTCTGATCTGTCCCCACTCTTAATTTCCAAAAAAGGCATGATATCGAAAATACTTACGGTTAATCAACTGATATCATAAAAGAAGTGACCAATCAAATGGTTTTATCAAAATTCACGAGATGCTTAGTCAAAGCTCTTTCAGTACCATGTCTTTTCAATAACATACATATCTTCCAAATTAAAATTGATACAAATAGATACCTTTTGTGGCCCTAAACGGCATTTTCAGCCCTAAGAAGATCCTCTCCCTACACGGCCCGTCCAGAAAACCCATTGTACATGTATGGTTAGTTTTTTGTAGCAAATTTGTCGTTCAAACACTGAAAACATTTTTTGACCTTCGACTACCCTCCCACGTGTAAGATTTTCAGACTCAAGGAGATCTGTTCACTAAACGTCCCGTCCAGGAAAGCCCATTACAGGGATGAGGCATGTGGTTTTGGACTTCGGCGTCTCAAAACCTTCAGTTTTGGTGGGCGGGGCTCAGGATCCATGATCCATCTGTGTTAATGGACCCATTTGAACGTATGCCTGGGCCCACTTAGTGACATCAAGGTGTGCCTCAAATCCGTTTAGAAGAATCTTGTACATTTGTTTAATCCAATAAAGAACGTGAGTTGCATTTTTCTTTTTTCTTTTCTCCTGCTTCTCCTCCTCAACGCATGTTCTACAAGCAAAGGCAACGTCAGAGGTGACGGTCATATTTTCAAATAAATAAACAATTCAATTTTGATGGCTTCGATTCCATGAATCATTCGATTGGAATAAGATGCATTCGTGGGTCCCATTTGGACTTGGTGTGTAAGTTTGTAACAGTTTTAATTAAATGAATTATTCCAGGGTTATCGCATCTTGTCAACTTTATATGAAGTTTTAGGCTGGAAACCCCACACCAGAATCAAAGCTGCTCTGCACAGCCATCAAAGTTCTAACTTGCAAAAGCTGAAAAGCACAAGGTGAAATGAACATGCCAACTGGCGTAGTGTCCGTTTGGCTTAAGTTCAGCAGCTTTTGGCTTTCCGAAGTGGGGTCCTACACAGCTAACCTTTAGGCTATATTTTGTGAGAAATCCAGAGAGCCTAAATAGGCTGTCAAACATATTTTTTGAGGCATCTGCTTCAGTCTCTTCAGATAGCTTATTCGGAATGCCTCAAAGAATCTGAACCAGCTAGAA